CCGGTTCAGGTAGGGACGCAACTGGTGGACCAGGCGAACCTGGGCAAATGCCCCCCTGGTCACAGAAGCCAAAGGGATGTGGGAAACATCCCAAAATGAATCCTTCCGTTCTCTGAAAAGATAAGTAAAGGAAGGGAGAACTGATTTCAAATTCACAAGATCCTGTTCATATAAACTTACAATAAAAGTAATATCGATACTCAAATGGTGTGTACTTCTTTTCTGGCTTTTCTTGAAGGGCTTACATATAGGCTTATTAAGAGGTTAAAATGAAGAAAAATGCAGCAGAGCCTTGAGCTCAGAGAACAATATTATAAGAACAATATTATTATAACAGGATTATAGGAGCTGCGGTGGCACAGTGGTTAGAGTGCAGTACTGCATGCTACAGCTGACTGCTAGCTGCAATTCAACAGTTCAAATCTTATCGGCTCAAGGTTGACTCAGCTTTCCATCCTTCGGAGGTTGGTAAAATGAGGACCCAGATTGCTAGGGGCAATATGCTAACTCTGTAAACTGCTTAGAGAGGGCGCACTGTGAAGTGGTTTACAGTCTAAGTGCTATTGTTAAGTGTTATAAAGCAAAGAAATAAAAACACTTTTTTTTTGTTCTGGCAATAACCATATCCATTTCTAATTTGCCTTGTGCACTTTTAGCTTTCAGTGAACCCCACAAGACATTTAGGGTTACAGTTCCTGGTTTTTCCCAAAGTTCATGTGAGCGTGGGTAACAAAAAACAATTCTGCCTAGAACACTGGGTGTAAAACCTGCGGAGTCATGTGATATATCACAATGTTTTCTCCTGCGCATGACGCATCTGCCCCAACAGGCAGCTAGTTTGATATCCTTCTAGAATGTCATAGTTACTATCGGTATAATCATTATAAACAGTCTTGCCCTTGTTTCCTGTCAGATCAGAGCTGGAAGAGAAAAATATTGCTAGTTCTGACTAGCAACGGAACTGGGAAGAGATAAAAATGGGGTTCATTAATCAAGCTAAGCCATTTAATGATATGTTTGACCTTGACTTAGTAAGTTATGTGAAATCATTCACTGTATTTTATTTATTTAACCACAGTTAAGCAAAAATGTGAATCTCATCAGTCTTAAGAAAATGCTTAAAGCTTTTTATGGATGTCAAAGATTCTTAGCTTTTGCTCATTCATGGCTTTTTCCAACTTTATAACAAATTAATGTAAATAAAATGGATATGTCTAAGTTTCATTATATTGTTCTACAGAAATGTTCTATTTTTGAGAAAAATAAGAATGATTGCATATAAGACAGGGAATATCAGCATCTCAGGATTTTTTTAAAAATGCTACAGTTGTCAAAACAATTTTCCTTGATTAATTTAAGACATTACTAAGCAAATGGAGAATAAATTTAATTAATTTTTTAAAAAAAATATAAATCCCAGGTTGACAGACCCAATTGCTATAAGGAGTGTGAAGCTGGCTATTAATCAGAAAATGAATTAGTTATGATGCTAATAAATATTTTGTTATGTTAGTTTAATTTCTGACCATGAAAATGACAAATACACTTTTTTGAGGCAGCTGACAGATTGTTCATTATTCAGCTGATGCATTCTGCAGCAATATCTTTTAATTTTTGAGAGAGTTAAAATGGTGATGACTTAGTTCCTGCTAGACCAGTCCAGTAGAGTCAGAGATCCTAGTACAAAGCCATGAGGCTAAAATGGACCTGCCAACACATTTCCTTGGCATCCACAAA